TCTTATTCTAAGCCTCTTTATTTAACTCTGGTGCAGGGATGCCACCCAAGTAACAAATAAAACATTTAAAATATTATTTCTAAAGAGTTTCCAGCCATCTGAGACAGTTTGGTTTACAATTTTAAGGGAAGAGCTATTTAAGCAAAAGGAATTTTCCTTAAAAAAAAAAAAAAGGAATTTTCCTAAGCCAGGCCTCCTCATCAGTGTGCACTGTGACGAGGTGGGCTGTTAGAAGGAACTGTACTTGGAAGACTGGTGTATTCTCCTCAGGGGGCTGCGGTGTAAGAGTTATTCTTTCTCATGTTCAGATGAACTCATGTTAAAGACCACTGCATTAGAGCAAATGACTTCAAGGTGTCACGTGTGGATGTTCACAGATTTGGACATGGTAGCACCAGACCCCAGGTGGTTTTTTGACTGAGAAATAGGTCATGGAAGTCATGAGACATTGTGGTCTTGACTAATGTGACCAATGTAAATACACATTGATTGAAAATTTTAGGATATTTTTATCCATTTTCTTAATTTTATCCTGCACCTCAGTGAGCTATTTTGAGGTCTGAGTATGGAAAAACTGTTTGATGTTTAGCTCTGATACAAAGGAATTTCAACACTTCATGAATTACTTCATAATATCACAATGACTAGTATTTGAAAGAGGAGCCTGGTGGTATAGTGGGATACTTGGTGGGCACCTAAGGCAAGAGGCCAGCAGTGTGAACCATCAGCCACTCCAAGCTGAGGCTTTCTGCTCCCGTAAAGAGTTGCAGTCTTGGACACCCACAGGGGCAGTTCTATCCCGTCCACTAAGGTAGTTGTGAATCGGCACCGAGAGTGGCAGTGAGAGTTTTCCATATTTATAAAAGGAAATGTAAGTAGCATTCAGGGTGGCTTGGTTTTGTTTTCTCTGCCCTGCGTACCTTCCTCCCATCACCATCAGTATTGACTCTGAGACATTGTGGAAGAAGCCAAGTCTTCATCCCCAGAGTCTGTGCTGCAGAGAAAACCGGAAAAGACGAGACCTTTCTGAGAGGTTCCCTGGTGGTACAGCGGTTAAGCAAGCTCTTGGCGACTGATGGAAAAGTCGGCGGTGAACCCACAGTGGCTCTGCGGGCAAAGGGAGGGCAGTCAGCTTCTGCAAAGACTCAGCCTTGGAAGCCTGCGGTGCAGTTCTGCCCCGCTCTGTGGGTGCATCAGTGTAGAATCTGCCCGTCAGGAGAGTGGGAATCTACTCAGTGGTAGTGAGCGGCAGCATCTTTACATCTTTCAGTGGCCTCTCTCTGGTTATTCGGCAGGTGCACTGGACAGGAGTTTGCCCTGAAGATCATCGACAAAGCCAAGTGTTGTGGCAAGGTACAGTGTGCATAACGCTTTGTAAAGAAACGGAAGCCTCGTGCTGAAGGGCTTGCTGTGGTGAAGGAATTTACACAGGAGAGAGTCACTGATGATGGCAGAGAAAAACACGGAAAAGTCTGTCTGTCATTTGGTTTTTTGCAGTGGTTTTCTGAGGCTGCTATGAAAACTTACCCCAAATTGGGTGGCCTGATAGACTAGCGATCTATCTCCGCAGTTCTGGACCTGAAACTTAAAACCTAGCACAGGTTTCTCTAAAGGATCAACTGGTGCCTCCTCTGTTGGCACCCCTGGGCCTGTGGCAGTATCACTTTAGCTCCGCTCTGACTCACTGCTGCCTCCTTCCTGTGTGTCTGTCCCTTTCCTTCTGTGTGAAGCCTCCTTTCTATTGCAGCAGGACATCTGTGGTGGCATTTGGGTCCCCCTGGGTCAACCAGGGTAATCTAACCTCAGAATCATTCATAGAATTACATCTGCAGAGATTTTTATTTTTCCCAAGCAAGGTGACACGCGTACATTCTAGGAATTAGGACTTGATATCATTGGTTGGCCATCATTCAGCCGACTACATGTATCTTCGCAGAAGTCCTATCTAGCGATTTGGGCGTTTTAACTCTCTGACTGTCATTATCCTCAGCAATTCTCACTAAGCCATCGGGGTGCCAGCTGTAGAGTCACCCTTGGCCAAGTGCATGAGGTGCTTACCATTCACACATTGATGCCCGCTGGGCATTTGTGATAATGCTAGTTGCTAGGTCGAGGGGTGGACAAAGCTTAAAGAACTCACAATTCCAGGGTCAGCTAAGGGTCAGCTCACTAACAATTAAAAGCCAGTAGGAAGAGAGCAGCCACTGGATCTGAGAGCAAGGGCAGGGCAGGGGTGGGGAAGGAGGGGTTGAGAACATTTGGGGGCACCTGGGCCAGTGCTGGGTGAAGAGGAGAGACTACTTAGATGAGATGAGGTATAGGTACAATCTTAAGTAATAAATAGGAGTTTGCCAAGAAGTAGGTTAAAAAGTTCCAGAGAAATGAGTGCATGGATTCAAAAGCTTTTGAGCAGGTGGACTGGGCAGGCTTGGTGACTGAGGGGATGAGGAAGGAGCGCGGAACTGGGCGGGGGATTCCCATCTCATTGAAACCCTGGAGGACCGAGTAGACCTGCCGGTTAAATCTGTCTCCCTTGGAGCGGCTGGTGGGTTTGAATGTTCAGCCTTGTGTTTCCTGTAACCCTGGTGCCTATGAGTCAGTCCGAATGGACTTGATGGGGAGAGTTTGTGGTTTTGTAGCCCGGTTTATTCCGTGAGTGACCGAGGCACAGAGGACAGCTTGGTGGAGGAAAAAATGGTGAGTTTGCTTTAGGAGAGATGTTCCTTTCCCTAATCAGTTTCTCATCCCACCCACCCCCATCCTAGATGTCAAAGTCAGCATGGCTAAAGAAAAGGCAGAATCCTTCGCCAAGTTAGCAATTTTCTTTGTCACTTTCTCTCCCACTGAACAATGGGGACACCACCATGGAATGATTCATATGCAAAGTATTTGGACTTCAACTAAAAAGTGATAGGTGATTGAATAAGGGGAGCTCCTCATGCTTCAGAATGAGAGTGATATTCGCATTGTGTTTTGAGATTTTCCTTTCCTGCAAAATGCCATGGAGAGAGCATTTGTGCGGATTGGAAAGCAGGGTGTGGGGACGGTGATGTGCTCTGAGAGCTGCTGTGTGTTTCGCCTCGCTTCTCGTGCAGGCAGCTTGAGGAGGGATCGCTCCTTCACGGGCAGTTTCGCAGAGATCATCAGAAGTTGGGAAACTAAGGCAGCCCGCTCCTGCATGCCAGAGAAACTCTCACTGAGTGCTTAGCCCACCGGACGCTGTCGAGCGGAATGCCGTAAACTGGCATAATGAGCACCCGTACAGAACCAGTTGGCATCGGACTCTCTCCGTGCTTGAAACCGAACTTGCAGGTGGCCCTTGGAGAGAGGCCACAGTACACACCAGAAGACTTTCCGTTTACCTTTATGGAAACAGTTAATAACTTTGGGGAGGTGCAGCCCCTAATATGGCCAGCCTTCCTGTGGTTCTCTCTGCCGTGGGTCCTGGTGATGGGGGCTGTTTCACATCAGCTGCTCAGAATCAGTTCCACAGACAGAGACCATGCATATAGCTGAATCGATAGACTCTTCCAATTTTAGAGAAAATGGGAAACGGAAAGAAATTAAGCAGTAGATAGATTTGCTTTGAATTAAAATACCTACCTTGCATTTCATGTTCATGAGCATGGTAGTAATGGCTACCATCATTGCTTCACCCAGAGAATGCTAGTTTGCTAGTTTGTACGTGCTCACTGACGCTTTCTAGTGTGCTTAAGGGAAGGCTTGGCACAGGTGTTCCAAGAAGGGGAAAGACATGCCCAGGTGAGGAGGGTTTGCCGGGTCTTTCTTTTGTGTCTGCGATCACAAGGTGCAGCCTGCTTCCCTAGGGGAGGGACCGGGACCCTGCCTGTGGCTCTGTGTTGCAGCTCTGTGACTTAGACATAGGGGATTTGGAAACAGCCTGTAGCCAGCTTTCCAGGTGTGCACTGCCAAGCTTGGAGACAGCCATTTCTCGGCTGGATTTGAAGGCTTCCTCCGCACTAAGCCAGGGCTGTCATTACAAGGACCACAGCGTGCCTCGCCCTTGGCCTGACCCGGCCCAGGTTCTACCCCAAAGCAGTGTGATTCTAGCCTCTGTCCATGTATTTCAAGTAAAATATTCTCAGCAGCCATCATTGTCATTTTGAAAATGTCCGATGTGATTCTATTGAAACATTTCTCTTTGAAAGGTGATGTGTAGTACAAAAAATCTTATGTGTCAGAAATCGAGTGTTGGATTCCTGCCCCAGAGGACTATTCGAAGGATACAGTGTAAAACTATGTACGTGCTTTGCCTGGGGACTGAGATGTAGTGACTCGATGCATGGGCAATGCTGGTTCTCCCCTGGCTCCCACGCTCTTTAGCACTTGCTCGGTCTATTTGGACAGGGGGCAGTGCCTAGGTAGTGCAAATGAACATACTCCACTGCTAACTGGGAGGTTGGAGAGTCAAGTCACTCAGCAGTGCTTAGAAAAAAAGGTGTGGTTGTCCCCTTCTGAAAATCGCAGCCACTGACAACCCCTGTGGAGCACAGTGCTCGTCTGGCCTGTGGGGTTGTCATGAGCAGAAATCAGCTCAAAGGCAACTGGTTCCATGGACAAGCACAGAGCACTCAGTGCTCTGGAATCGGGGGTGGGGGGACTTACAGGAGGTGTTCTCTGCGTGCTGTTTGTTTGCTTTCATGTGTACTTTCCTCTCCTGTCAGAAAAGTTGTGAGTTGGCTTAGAGCAGTGGTGCTCAACCTTCCTAATGCCGTGACCCTTTAATACAGTTCCTCATGTTGTGGTGACCCCCTCCCAACCATGAAATTATTTTCATTGCTACTTCATCACTGTAATTTTGCTACTGTTACGAATCGGGTGACCCACAGGTTGAGAACTGCATACATGGTGGATACATGAAGAGGAGAGACACCAGAAATGAGCCCCTGAAGTGGGGTAACACGATCCTGTTACCGCAGTAACTCACTCAGACGCACTGCTTCTATCAAGTTGATTCTGACTCATAGTGACCCTACAGGACAGGGTACAACTGGCCCTGTGGATTTCTGAGACTGGACCTCTTTACGAGAGAGCTGGGGGAGGAGAGGTAGAGACAGAGAGACTGTATAATTATACACACCCACATAGCCACGAGGTGAGGCAAAAAGGATCACTGCACAATGGAAGTCATGGTGCTGTGTCTCGGCATATCCTCCTTCTGGGGCTGCGTACTCTTAAGGAGGTGGATTGATACAGCGGCAGTGCCAGCAGGCTCAGACATCAGAGTGATGGTGAGGATGGTGCAGGCAGACTGGAGAGTGCGGCCGTGGTGTGCACATGGTATGCCCTGACTCCACGGCACCCTGACAGCAGCAGCAGTGACCATGCCCCCAAGAATGCCCCCCTCTTTGATAACCAGGTCAAAACAGCGGCTTTGGCATCCTGGAGAGCCTCAAACTATGTTCTTTCTAAATGTTCCTTGTACTAGGGGGCACGAAAGAGTCTGAAGGGGCAAGATGAGGGCCGTAGAGCGGAGGAGGTAAGGTCCCCAGCACAGTTCCTGTAAGTCAGCCCTCTCGGCCCAAAGAATGAGCAGGCACATAGAGTGATGGGGGAAAAGCACTCTCTACACAACGTTCCTGGCTTTTTCTCACCAGTGCAGTTTTCTATTTTCTCAAAAATTTTCCCTACTATGCCCCCATGGTCATCCATCCTTCTGAGAAAATCTATCCTAATCCCTTAGGAGCCAACCCCCCCCCCCAAAAAAAAAGTCTCCATTGGCTTCTGAGTGACCCTCTGCCTTGCGTTAACTGACCCATCAGTTAATGCACTGCTTGCAGGCACCCTCACGAGACTGAGACAAGTGTATTACTGAGGGGACTTGTCTGCAGCCATCTGCTGACCACAGAGACATGGGCGTGCGTGAACTGGCACCCCAGCAGTCATACCTCTGGACTTATCCTTATATAGCTAGACTGCGTGAGAGGACAATTAGTAAATCTTTACAGAGCATTCTCTAAACGCAAAACAATGTATTATTAAAGTTGATGATCCACCAGTGTGGCATGGTTGAGAGACCTTCAAGTTTCATAATAAATGAGAGCAATAATTGTTGGTGATTCATGGGCTGCGGCGTATGGAGGGTAATTATTGAATTCTGTGAGTAAACTTTTGCTGCTGGGATGATCCCAACTGCATTACTCAACAGAACTGAGAGAATCAGGTGGTCTGTTCCGAGGAGAAGTGATTAGAGTTAAAATGAGAATAGTGGCCCCCGTGGGGCTGTATGTTTCCATACTTCTGAACTATCGGATGAGAAAAGAACATTCATGAGGGACACGATGTCACAAAAAGTCGTGGAGGAAGGACGCCTCACTGAGTGAATCCCAGTGGAATGCCAGTTCACATTGGTCACAGTTTAAAGGCAAATATACCCATATCTTTTGATGCCGGAAGTGGCATGCCATCGCCTGCCAGGTTTTCTTACCTGCCTAGTGTGCCAGTACTTTGTGTGGGCACAAGTTTGAGTGTTGAAATTCGTCGCTTAGAAAACCATAGGGCTAGTGTTGGGGCCATGCTTACCAGGCTGTGGAAGCTCTGTTTAGGTCTTTCCTGCATGACTAATAGGAAGGGAAATAATTCTCCTGGCCCTTGGGGGGCTGGGTTTTAGCATGGCATACGGATACCTAAAAGAGTTAGTGCATTTTTGGCATATCTATGTCACTCAAAGAATACCTGTCACAGGTGACATTGTATGGGTTCTGGCTGAGGTACAAGCCTGTAAAGGGGTTGGCAGGACTGACAGACAAGAAGGCACTGTGCTCTATGTGCAGGGCAGCACCATTGAGCCCCTCGGAGGGAAGTTAGCGGGCAAGTTCTCTCTTGTGCTGGCGGTGCTTTGAGGGAATGGTGTGGGGTCCACACTGATCTCCTCTGGCTCCCCAAAGGAGGAGAATCCAACTCCACATCTGCCCGAGACTGATTGGCACACGGCAGAGGTCACATGTGCTTCCCCCGCCCCCCTCCCATGCTTTAGCGTCTTTGGATGCCAACCATCCCTCCACCATACTCTGCTGTCCTACCAGGCAAGGACCACACAGAACTCACAGACAGTGCTCACGACCAGGGGGTTAGTAGGGAAGCTCAGCAGGTACAGAAGGTTAAGGCTACAGTTCTTATGTCCTCAGTGCCTCTTCTCAGCCATGGGGGCAGACATATCTCTCTCGGGTGCTCAGGCTTGGCCTCTGCCTTGTTCTGTGGGATGGGAAGCCCACTGGCCACTCAGCAGCAGCTTATGGAGTCTTTGCTGCCTCTGCCACTCAACACGCGCTCCACTGGTGGCTCGTCTTTCTTGACAGTCATGGGATTTGTCTCCCTGCTTCTGAGATGGCTCGTTCTGATACCCAGCAGAAAGGCAGAGTGATATAGTGATCAATTCCCGGGTTCGAGGCAGCTGTGTTTTGTTTGCAGGCTCCCCATCCCATCACTGAGTGGAGTGATAAAGGCTCTGGATAGAAGAGCCATGGCAAGTAAGCCCCACTCTTGTCCTGTCCTTGGGAACCAGTGGGTTGGTGTTGACATTAATCTGTGCCAAGAGAGGCCTTTAGCATCAGGCCCTACAGGTTTCTTAAATCTGTAGGATTTTTACAAAACGGATTAATAAGGGTAGATTGGTCTATCGAGTGGCTGTTGTGCCCCAGGCATTTTTTCATACATGATGTTATGGAATCCTTAGGACAACTCCCAGTGAAGTTATCATGAACTTATCCATCACTTTGTAGATCAAGTGGTTGAGAAGCAGTGATGACTAACCCGTCCAAAGCCAGGCTGTGCTTCCGTGATGGAGCCAGGCCCATGCAACTGTGGAATTAGTTTGTGAGCTTCTTTGATCGTGAAACCTTACGGAGCATATTTGTTCTGCCTTGAATGATTCGTGCACATTTGGGGGTGTGGCATTGGTTGCAGGCTCCACGAGATGAGGTGCCAGCCCCCCTTCCCACTTCCTGCTCCCCCTGGCTCCCTTCCTCCTCCTTTCCATTTCTTCCAGCCTGCTGAGCTCTACCTCTGGGCAAATGCTGTCCTGTGATCGCATAGATTTGATTGTTCTAACGATCATGCACCCGCCTGGCGTTTCTCTCTAGATCTGTGTCTTGTTTGGGTGAAAGTTGACCCACGGAGGTGAATTCCATTCCAGGCCTGAAGGGTGTCTTAGAGCCATCGTACCCTGTGTCCCATTACTCCATGCGCCTGGTCCTTGGATGATTTGGGGGTTGTTTCCACATTTGTTACAGGCCCCCCCTCTTGTGTTCCCTTCCAAAGTGGTCACCAGTGGTAGGTGGGCACCATCTAGATCTGGTCCCATGGTGCTGGAGGCTGTGGTTCAGGTGGGCATTTGGGCTAATTGTTTCCAGGTGTCTTTGATTATTTGAAAACTCTTTTCATTCCAGACAGGGAGAGACCATTAGTTGCACCTTCGGTAGCTGCTTTTAATGACTCCATCACTACCCACCAAAGTAGGATGTCGAACATGGTTTCTGTGATCTTGGTGTCCCCGTTAACTGTGATCCCGAGTCCCTAGACCCAGTGGTTCATTCTCTCCAGGTGATTCTGTGTGTTGCCTCTAGCCCACTGACAGGGCGTGCTGTGGCTTCTGACCCACCTCTCATTTGACAGGAGCACCTGATCGAGAACGAAGTGTCGATCCTGCGCCGCGTGAAGCATCCCAACATTATCATGCTGGTCGAGGAGATGGAAACGGCCACGGAGCTCTTCCTGGTGATGGAACTGGTCAAAGTAAGAGGGTGGCGAGAGTTGTCTCCCACGCCTTACAGTGTTCTCCAAGGACCTAATCCGCAAAACGCTTTTGCTACCCGGTGATGCCCATGCTTGAGGATTTGTCCGTTCCCATTCCCCGTGGGCTGAAGCACCGTGGTGCTTACCCTTCCTAGGGTGCTCGCATGTGCTCTCTCCCGTTCTCTCTTTCCCTCAGGGTGGAGATCTCTTTGATGCGATCACCTCTTCTACCAAGTACACGGAGAGAGACGGCAGCGCCATGGTGTACAACCTCGCCAACGCCCTCAGGTACCTCCACGGCCACAGCATCGTGCACAGAGACATCAAGCCGGAGAACCTCCTGGTAGGCCTCTCCGATTTTGCTGTTGACCTTTCATGTATTTATTTTTCTGTTTCAACCCGTGCCTCTCTCCTTTTTACATGATCTTCCTCATTGAAGGCCTGGGATCGAGTAGGAGGAAAATGTGACACAAAACTCAGACTCATGAAAAGGACCGGGATTACTGGTCAAACAGAGACGAGTGGAGCCCCTGAGACTGGGACCCTTAGTCACCCTTCAGCTCTAGAACTGAACTCACCCTGTGGCTCAATATTCAGCCACTCACGAGACAGGTCTCTAAGGGGACTGCCAACACTAGTGAGGTATGCACACCTGAGAACAGTGTTTCCCAAAGTGGGTGATAGCACCCTGGGGCACTGGAACAATCCCACGGGGCTGGCTGTAAAAGCAGATCTCTCACTGCCATTGAATCGATGCCTGTAGTATTAAATTTAAAAAATTGACGCCGAGGGAGGTGGGGGGCCAGCCCCCACCCACTGATACTACTTATACTACTCGGGTTCAGTAATACTACTTCTGGGTTCAGTAATGCACAATTGTACGGTTGAGATATATAAGCATTATATTAAAGTCACTGAGAGCATGAGAGATAGTACAATAATACAGTCAGACACATTACATGATCGCATTGCTCACCTCAGCCCAGCTTGGTGGTCCACGTGGAGAGAGGGGGAAGGGAAGGAAGGGAAGGGAACAAGGGAGAGGGGAGTGACCAGGGAGTGAGCAGCCAGGAGCTCAGAGTCAGAGAGCAAGATCTATATTGCTGGCTCACACCTATATACCTTTTGGGGGCAAGCCAGCCCACTAATTACAGGTAGAGACGTACATCACAGGAAGGGGCTGCACTATAGGTTACACAGCAATGAGAGGGTGGTCTAGGGGGTGGTCTCTGGGTCTCCATAGGAACATTATCAGTAGGGTGAAAACTCCGCCTACAGGAGCCTGTCCATTGCCCCCAGAGGCAGGGAGCAGGCCCACCCCTGTGGAGGGATGAGACAGCAGTCTGGCAACTGATTGCCCTCAGTGGGGGAATGCCTGCGCATCTGACCTCCCCCCACAGATGCCAACTCATAGTGACCCTATAGCACAGGCTAGAACCACCCCTGTGAGTTTCCAAGACCCCAAAACTCTTCCAGGAGTAGAAAGCTCCACCTTTCTCATGAGGAGTGGCTGGTAGTTTTGAACTACTGACCTTGCCCTTAGTGGGCAACATGTGACCACTGTGCCACCAGGGTTCCTTCCACAGCATGTGCCTACGCTTTATTTTGCATTATGGACTCTAGTACAAAAATGTTTACTTGCGGGGGGGAGGGGGGGGCGGGTGGAGGGCTGCTGGTAATTTTTTTTTTTTCTGAAAAGGGGACAGTAGGCCAAATGAGCTTGGAAGCCTGTGCCTTAGAATGATCACCATCTGAGATGAAAAGGACAGCAGAATTCAGAATAGGACAGAAGGACAAATGGAAGCAGGAAGCATGGGGAGCAAGGGGGATAAGTAATGTTTCATTGTGAGGACTGCAATTAATTATGCCACCAAATACGTATGACTTGTTGAACAGAATTCTGATCTGATCTGCTCTGTAAACCTTCACCCAACGAAACTCACTGCCGATTCCAACTCATAGTGACCCCATAGGACAGGGTAGAACCGCTCCTGTGGGTTCCTGAGAACTGTAACCCTGTATGGGAGTAGATAGCTTCATCTTCTCCCCAGGAGCGGCTGGTGGTTTAGAACTGCTGACCTTCCAGATCTCAGCCTAATGCCTAACCACCAGGGCTCCCTGGACGTAAAACAGTGGGGGGCGCTCGTTCTGTGATAACCTTGTCCATTTATCTCAATTGTGTTGTTGGGATCTGCCATTAAGTTGGCCCAACTCTTGGCACTCATGGCAGCACAAACCCTACTCTCATAGGGTTTTCTCAGCTGTAGTGGTTACAGAGCAGCCTGCCAGGCCTCACTGTGTGGAGCTGCTGCATGGTTTGAACCACCAACCTTTCAGCGTGCAGCCTGTCACAAACTGCTTGTTCTCGTTGGGCTCCTGTCCTAGTTATCTAGGTGTGGAAATTAAGACACGGGGATCCTAGTCTCTCTTGCTTAAAAGTCTCAATTCCCCCGCTCCCCTCTGTTCTGTAGAAGAAAGTCTTGCCCACTTTGGGGTTCAGGGACATCGAAATCGGGGTCCAGTTTCCCTTTCTGACCACTTGTTCTGTTTCTACACTTCCTGCCCACCTAGCCCAGCATGGCACCTTACCTTCAAGGTGTATTTAATTCACCTTTGGGTTGTGGCTTGGTAACTCAGCATAACTTGCTTATCAACCCATCCTTGTACCTAGAAGATGCTGGAGAAGCCAACTGAGGCGTTCTTGCCCACCCTTCCCCTACAAGAGGGTTGGCTTCTTTTATACCTTTCAAAACTGAGTTTCAGTACCAATTGGCACCTTGGGAGCAAAGCCTGTGCCTCATTAAATTTTACATCCCCAGTGCTGTGGACAGTGCCAAGGAAGCACACAGTAGGCAGAGTTCACAGCGCTGGCCGACCACTGGCAGCCACTGGCTAGCTAGCAGCACACCTGGCGCTCAGACCCATGCTTTTTAACTGTCCAGTGATTGCACATCACAGATCGCTGTTAAGAGCAATGAACATTGATGTACAGGCTGTGGGGCCATCCGGGGACTTTTTGCTAGGCTAGTAGTGTCTGTGTTCCTTCCCTGGTAATAACAGCCGGTGATTTCTGAGTGTCTGTTTAAAATGATGTGAGGTTTTTTTCAAACTGCCTTCTACCCTGAAGAGATTGTATTTCTTCTCTATATGTTCCTATTAGGGAAATAAATATCCTTGCCATGGAATAAAAGATGTGTTATAGACCCAGCTTTATGAACTCTGAGGAGAGTCATAAACAGCCTGGGGCCGGAAGCAGGGGTATGGCGCTGCCTCTCCAAGCAGGCTTCTTGCCCAAGGCAGCCTCGCAGTGCCCAGCGGGCCCAAGACTCCTGGCCCAGCTGGTTGAGCTTGACCAGGGGCTTCAGGAGAGCACACCAAGCCAAGCAAAGGCCAGACACAGCTCCCACCAAGGAATGAGGGCACCCCCTAAATGTCTCCCTGCTCTCCATCTCCCAGCAGAGGCTGTGATGTGGGGTGGTGGTTGTTTGCGTTCTCTGTTAATATGGGAGCCACAAGTCCTGGGGAGCTGCAGTTACTCTGCAGCCAGTCAGACTGAGGCTCTGATGCTGAGGTCCAGCAAGGACGATGACGGAGGCGCTGGGGCACTCTCAGGAAACCCAAACTTAAACAAACGCCCTGCCATCGACTTGATTTGGACTCCGGGGGACCCGGTAGGCCCCTGTGGCTCCCAAAACTGCGAAAGCCCTTCTTTCTCCCGCAGAGCAGCCAGTGGTTTCCAACAGTTGACCTTGTAGTGAGCAGCCCACCGCTGCTCCACCAGGCTTGCTCCGCAGGACAGCGGGGCGGCTGTTTCCAGCTTGTTGCTCCAGTGCACCCTGCTCCCCTTTCGCCCTTTTGGCTGCTCACAGTTTCTCAGTTTGCGCAATCGCTCCTCACAGGCCTTCTTCCCTTTCGCCCTTCTGTCACCAGGTGTCATGGGCAATTAACATAATGGGCATCCATGTCTCCAACCTCATTTGGCTCAGAAAGTTCCAGTAAATTGGAATCAAATGCCCAGGTCAGCTCACCTGTCCTGGGTGCTCTCAATACCCTGTACCAGCATCATAGTGCTCCCCAGCAGGGAGGAGGCCGGGGAGGAGGAGGAAGATCATAACACTGATGTCCAGACAAGGCTACATTGGGAAACAGAAGGGCATGACATCAAGTGGGATCCCCAAGTGGTGCAAACAGTTAGCACACTTAGACACTTAACCCAAAAGATGGAGACCCATGTCTACCCAGAGGCACCACAGAAGAAAGGCCTGGTGACCCACTTCCCCCAAAATCAGCCATCCAAAACATTTTGGAGCATGGCTCTACTCGGACACACGTGGGGCCACCATGAGTCAGAGTCAGTCTGACGACAGCTGGTCCTGGTGCTATCAGGCTTCGGAAATGGGCTCCGCTGCATGCTGTCTAAGCAAAATATGTTCCCGTCATTGACACCTCCCTGGATCTCTGGGCAGATTCTAGGTTCGGTCTGCAGAGGAGCGAGGACGTGCCCTGGAGGATTGAAAGGTCAAGACAGAGAGTGACTGCCAGCCTTCTCCTGCTCAGAAACCTAATTCAGTTTTAAACACCAGGGCACTGTGGACATCTTATTTGCATCCCCCATTCTGGTAGCTCGGTTGTAATTTAAACCCCTGCCAGCAGAGATGTATGGGTGGCCATGTCAGGGAGCACAGAGGTGGCCATTAACACTGTGAGTTACAGCCCAGTGGTGCCCTGTCAGAGGTAACTAGGAGCGACCAGTGATAAATTCAGTGTTGGAGGAGTTCTGGGGACGGGCGAGGGGAGAGCGCTGGTTTCTCATATTTGAAGCCCTTCTAAATCACCGGGCTGACATTTTATTTAGAGACCGTGCAGTGTTTACTCTGTATGCGGGATCTGCCATCCTCGGAGTTTTTATTTTTGCTATGGGCAGCTCTGGGCGAAGGGGGTGTGTGTGTGGTGTGTGTGTGTGTGTGTGTGT